AATTCCCCAATAGCTGGCGGCCAAAGGCCACCCTGCTAATTGCAGTTGCCTAATAGCTAGATGCAAAACAATAGGAAATGCTGCAGTGCATAGTAGTTCTAACTAAAACGGGACCGCCAACCTTAGCAAGGGAGACCGGGGACCGCCAGCCTTAGGAAAAAAAAAAAGTGCTCCGCCCCCGGAGGCCCTATTAGCTGAAATCCTAGATCCTGAACCTCAAACCAGGCCCTATAGGTCGGAGCTGAAGGTATACATGAGCTTTAGTTACAAGTTATATGGGTTTAGGGTTTAGGGTTTAGGGTATAACTAAAGCTCATGTATCCCTTGAGCCTTGAGCCCCCGACGCTCAGGGAAAGGGCTGGTCACCGCACTGCACCTCTCGGACTACAATGCCAGCAATCCTGAAGCTGGGTCTTGATACGGAACTCCTTTTTAAGTTACCATAGTCTAGGACATTTTCAGCTGGGTAGTTATCGTTATAGCAGCCTCATAGAAGGTCTATATACCTTACGGAAGCCTCATAGAAGCCCTATATACCCTAAACTCCCCACCTGTAGTTTCCTTTAACATAGTAAGGAAAAAATAAATCCCTTGACAACAGCCCAGGAGGAGACGGCGGAGGAAGCTGACAAGCACCTGCAATTGGCGCTGATGCCCGGATGGAAGCTTCAGGGTGGGCGATTTTGGGGCCTGAAGAGTTGGTAATGTTCTTCCTCAAGTTCTTTGAATACCATTAGTTGTTGTGGTATCGCATCCCCCAAAACCCCACTCTAACAATCTATGCTGTCCTTTTTTCCTCGTCTTTGTTCTGAGGGCCCGGGGGATGTTGCAGTTTGGCTTGGAACATCGGCTGGGCTTGTTCGGATTCCAGGAATCGACTCGTTGGTTTAGGATTTGCGGTTGTGGGCTGCTGAACCCTAAACCTAGACCCTAAAGCCCTAAACCCTAAACCCCTAAACCGTAAACCCTAAACCTGTAACCGCTGAGCTTAGAGTTTTGGGCGCTCCGACTTTAAGCTTGGTGCGTCTCTCTTCAATCCCAAACCCCCCCCAGGCTGGTTCCCCATGTAAGGTTTCGGATTTAGGGTTTAAGGTTTAGGGTATGTTGCAAGCAGTCATGGGACAATCCATGAACACCCTAAACCTAAACCCTAAACCCTAAACCCTAAACCCTAAACCCTAAACTACATAAAGAACGATATGACGGCTCAGAGTCGCTAATGATATCTGTACTGTCTCCAGAGCAAACCAAAAGCCGCCAACACAGAAGGACCAGGGAGACGCGGTGCACTTGGCGAATAATTCGCCTTCCGAAATGGTGCCCCAGCCTGTAAGGCCCGAATTGACATATCATCACAAGAAGCCAAAGTGATCGCACAGGGAAACTAGCTCCCAAGCAACGGAGCGTGCGTCTGGGGAGACCTCCCACGGCACTTCACCCTCTTAAACATTGCACGGGGAATATGTGAAGAAATGACGCTGTCTGTTTAGCGGTTGCCTGCTCAAGGATGACTCTCGCCAAGAGGGTTTAGGGCTCCTTAGTTAAACTTTTATTGGGGCCCCTCGCCCTGAACTCGAGACTGTTCACCATGACTGCTGCGAAGGAGTGGGTCTCGACTGCTGATATCAGGCGGTGGCTTTGGGCGTCTGCTCAAGCGACTGGCACAGTACCGGGGTCTACCCGTCGATGACCCTTCAGTAGCATTGAACTCATTACTACTACTACTACTACTACTACTACTACTACGACGACTACTGCTACTACTACCACCACTACTACTACTACTACTACTACTACTACTACCACTACTACTACTCCTCCTACTCCGACTGCTACTGCTACTGCTACTGCTACTGCTACTGCTACTGCTACTGCTACTGCTACTGCTACTGCTACTGTTACTACTGCTGAAGCCCCAATAGGTTCAGGGGTGTATTGACCTGAAACTAC